GAGGGGAGGGGAGGGGAGGGGAGGGGTGGGCTAGGGGTAGGGTCGTCAGCTGTCACATCGAAACGCAGATTGTGCCGAAGCAGGACAACCAAGGCTTTGTTGAGGATCTACGTCAAGAACTTTCATACAAGCAATGAGGTCATGTTTTGGTGGAACATAGATGCGACCTCTGGTGAATCCGCCAAAGGCGAGTGTTTGCCGGCGTACCCGTAAACCGAGCGCGCTTCCCGGGAAACCCGCCCACGGACGGTGCTTTTTGATACAACCCGCCCATAGATGTGACGTCTGGCATGTCCCGCTGAGTGAGGGGCATTCTTTTCTCGCCGGCCTCACAAAGACAACCAACCTTTCTGAACAACGCAGATATGCGCCCATCCCCTCCCCCCGCACCTTCTCTTGCCAGCCCGGACTCAACACTCACCACGAGTCCATAGAAAGCCCTTACTACGGTTGTTGGTATTTTTTGAAGAGGAAAACAACAAACACGCAATGACTTCTCACCTCTCCCAGCTTCTTCAGGCGCTTGGCGCTAAGCGAAGCACGAGGCTGACCGGCTGGGGAAAGGCCAAGGTCGTCCCACAAGCGTCCCCACAGCGAGTGAACCTTCGGAAAGACGCCTGCCGACTGCTTCAGCGGCGATACCAGGTCCTGCACGAGGACGGGTATAAAGCACAAGGGGGGGGGTGGGAGCGGCGGAATTACGCCCTACGGATGGATCTCGTTCAAATGCATCAGATGGACAGCAGCCATGCCGAAAGCACTGCTGGTAAGTGTTGGGTCTATCTTGCAAAGCACAGCATGGACATCTATCGACCTGGACGTGGCAGGCAACTACAGCAACCTCTTGGTGGACCAATCAACGCTCTCTGATCCACCCGAACCATTTGGGAGTATCAAGATATCAACCTTCTTCGATGTCCAGTACAACGACCTTGGCGACACTCACCCATCGAACCTTGGTATCCCCCAATCAACATTCTTCTGATACAATCTACATGGCACCCATCCAATCAACGACCTTGCCGTGCCCAATTGTGTCTCATCTCCGCTACTCATCACTATCCATAAGTGTTTTCATCTCTCCCTACCCATCACTAACCATCTAACCCAGTCAACGCTATTTTGATCTAGACCTCCGGACCTTCGCCACACCCACACAAACTGCTGTTTGGATATTTGGTGTAGATATTTGGTGTGAGAAATTGCTTTGGATTTTTTGAAAAGCAATTTAGAGGCCAGCAGATTCTCATTTCCAGAACTGGTTTGAGAGCGAACGAAAGGGAGATACGCATCTCTAGGCACACCTTCCGCTGTGTCCATTGAGTCAACTTTCTGGGCTTTTGGAAGAGGACCAATCAGCGTCCCTCTCTTCGCCCACCTGTGCCTTCCCGACCCGCACCACCGAAGCGTGTCTCAAGAACGCCGGCAGTGCTTGCTTCAGGGCGGCATCTTCCTGCGGATCCAGGCCCCTCTCCCTCATGATGGAGCGCAAGCCCAGAGAGAGCAGCAGCTGGTCTGAGGACAGATCCGCCAGCTGCGTCACCAAACAAACAAACAAGACAAGACAAAGCACGACAGGACAGGACAGGGCAAGAGAAGTGCCCACAAGGAGCCAACCCAAAAAGATCAGAAAAACAAAACCGTAAATAATACTTGTACTTGGCCATGGTGCATACGTGCGATACGATATGATAAACCAGTGGAAGAAGAAAATGTCTGTGGTTGGGAACAAATTTACCCAACATTTGCATAGCATGTGGTGCAAAGAAAATAAAAAGAGATCAAGAGCACACCCCTTGCAAGCTTCACAGGTGTAGCATCGATAGCGCTGCATGCCGTAGATTTCTGCTGCTGCGATGAAGAGCATGACATGTAATGCGAGAGACGCATCCACGCTCCGCACGAAAGAAACTGTCACTTGAAGCGATGAGGCGTGACAACGACGGTACGGTAGTCGATACGCTTTCAAACTGCGTGCCGTAAAACAAAACAAAACAAAAAATAAACATATTAACTGTAACCGCCAGCTCGTCTTTTGAGGAAGGCCCGTATTTTTGTCTTCCCATACCATCAACTGAACAGTCCGGTTGGTCCATATTTAGAAGCAGAGAGCGATTGTTGTTCCATCCTTTCTTGATGAGAAAACCCCCGAAGGAATCAAGACCCAATAAAGTGAGGACGGTAAGAAGCTCCTTCTTTCTTCTTTCGTTCTCTCTGACCTGGAGGGTGCTTCCGTCCTTCCCCTTTAGCAGGGGCACCATGAGCGGTAGGACCACTCGCAGGAACTCCCCCTCCCCTTCGAAGGCCTTGGAGGTCACCAGGAGAGCCGCCTCCCCCGCCGCCTGCCCGATCCACTTCCTCTTCGTGTACAGCTCTGACACCGCCTGTTTTTTTACGTTCGATTCCGACGGAAGCATAAAACAGGACGTGCTGGTTCCGGACGTGTTGGTTCCGCTTGTATTTGTTGTTGTTCTCGTCGTGGGCGGACGTAAGACGTAATTTTCATGGTTTTACACCCCCAACAACAAGCGGTGGAGGAAAAGCTATTGTAAAGCTATTGTAAAGCTATTGTAAAGCTATTGAAGGACTAAAATAGAAATAAAACAGTCTCACGTACGCGCGACATCCAAAAGCAACACGGAACAGCGCTAAGGCATATCGGACGTGTCTCCAGCACAACTAGTGATCAACGGTCAAGCAAACAGGTACGATCGAGGCAAGGAATATAATGAATTGAGTCCGTCACCCGCCGTCCCACCGAGTAAGGCGTACTTCTTGAAAACACTCCTCGTTTCTCCTCGTAACTCTCCACCAGTTGTGATAAAAACAGGTACATCGGCTTTGAAGAAGACCAGGCCAGGCCGGTCAGCCCGCAGCAAGCTGCCGCTACCCTCATCATGCGACAAGGTATCTCAAGCAATGGATCGCACAGATAGGCAGAGTTGGGCAGATGGTACACCTCGGGGTATCTCTGGATTCCGCCTCCCGGTGTATTTCGGTGAAAACAGCCAATGAGGGCCCACTACTTTTCTTGAAACTGTCGTCTTCACTAAAATGCACTACGCGAAACGCTGCAAACACTACTGCGACTCACCTACCACAAAAACGACTTCCACACACACTCGCCCTCCTGGGACTGCTGCGATACGATTACGCACACTGCTGCTATCCACTTGCTACTAAACACAACTTTGGTTGCTTGTTTTCCAGGCTGCTACCGTCGTTCCTTCCACCGCACCTTCAGCGCCCCCTCCGCGCTCTCCGGTTCCGATCTGAGTCGCCCCGACATGGCCAAAGCGGAAACCCCCAGGAGGCGCCCTAGGGCCAGCTCTCGCTCGTCGGCTCCCTTCATCGCTGCCGTCGTCTGGGTGGTATTCAAAATTTGCTCCAGCACGGCCGGTGTTGTAGGCTGAGAGCAAGCACATTCACGAGGCGGCTTGTGTGAATATGGAGGCGAGGTGGAAAGGGGTCAGGGGCTATGGACGTTGCGGAAATTGTGACGATTGGATGGAAACTATTCTCTATTACAGATAGGATACAATGTAGGAGTCTGCGTCCTTGTCGCAAGTTTGGTTGTTGCCACCGACTGTGCTCGAAGAGTGCGCATGAGGAACCGCCGAAAAAAAAGTAAATTCCTTTGCGTTAGAATACCTAGCTCTACTACGGAGGAAACTAACTCGTGTCAAGCTGGTCGTCATTGCGACAGAAAGCACGGCACCGAAACACACGGTTCTAGAAGCACGGTCATATGCATCCATCGGCTCGACTTTCAAAATTGATCAAGGTACTGCTGTACCTCCATGCGCAGGAAAACAATTTCACGACCCCACTCTATGTACTCTCGCGTCACCGTGTAACCCGACATACGTACACCTACAACAGACAAGCGTCAGAATAAACAGTTTACAGTTGTAGCAAGCTATTCGCGATTGCCAAAAGTAATCATACGACTTCCTTCGCTTGCTCACCGCGTCCTTGGGTAGCACGGCCAGCACTTGCGCAAGGCACGAGGCGAAGCCCTGCCTCGCGCACTGGCGGCTGGAGCATATGCCTCGCACCAGCCGCTTGACCGCGTATTCTGCGTCGCCCCCTTGATTGGACACGTGTCTCACGATCATAGCTGCCGCGCCAACCCTGCCGTGGAATTGTGGCGGTCACAAACGACAAGAGGAGGGGGGGGGGACGACAGCATTGTGGACTTGCAGAGCGTTGGAGTAGCTTGTAGCACTGGGATGATGTTGTGCTGCATCGTGGGGAAAATGGCGGTGGAAAACCGTTGGCAAACATGTTTTGGCTCCCTGCTACTGATGTTGGTGGTCACCACGCTGTCGATGCCTTGTCTCTTGCGCCATCCTCCCGATCTCAGCAACCCAGCCGATTTCAAATGAAGTAGAATAACGCACACGTTTTTCGAGTTGTATTCCATACCAAGTTACAAGCCTTGTTGCAGACCAACTCCACAACAGCAAAAAACTGCATTCAAGTGAGGGCGGGCGCGGTGCTGGCCGGTGGAGTGGTGGAGAAATCGCGCAATCGCGCTCGCTGTGTGAACACCGTCAACGGGGTGCGTGATCACGTCGCCCTACCGCACCTGTTGCACAGCCGATCACGTTCTACACCGACACCTGAGTTGTGTGTGTGTTGTGTTTTGTGTGTGCTGAGTCTGCACGTCTGCACGCCCTTTGGTTGGTGGGTGTCAGGTGTGGGTTGTGTTGGGGTGTTGGGGTGGCTAAGTTGGGTTCCTCGCGGGACTGTACACTTGGCGGGACTGTGAGGCCTCAATCGTCGATGACATAAAGGAGGAGACGAGTGGCGCAGGACTCGTGTAAAAAACACTGAGCCTAGCGCCGTCAACGCTAACCATGAATAGTTCGCCGCACTGGTAAGGCCAACACTAGGAACCTCTGCCACGGTGCGTTGATTACTTAGTTCCTAGGGTGGGCATCCTCAGTGAATGCTCGTCGGCACCACTCGTCCACATTCGCAGCAGACAGCAAACATGCGATTTTCAAGATACAGCAGTAGTACACGACAGCGAGACAAAACCGCCATGGCATCAAGCCCCACAGCAGTACCTGACTGGCACATCCACGCTAGCCAGATCCCAGAACCCCTGCATGAACTTGCTGAACTCTGGAATAGCGGCCTTCTCTTCGCCCACTTCATCAGAGCCCTGCATTTCTTCCTGGCCATCACTCTCCCTCTCCGCCTCTCCTGTGGAGCCCTCGCCCTCGCTGCTGCTCGTGCTGCCGCTATCCTCAATAACCTCCATTCTTTCGACCTCCATCTCTTCGGCAGTCATGTCTTCCGAACCAGGGTGGCTGCAGCACTACAATATGGCGAGAAACGAGCAAGCAGCCTACCGCGCTGCGTGTGTGAATCTCTGCCTTTGGATCGCCGACCGTGGTGCAGTTGAGGGGGCTCCATGGACAAAGTTTGCGCGAAAGAAAAGGTACTCATACATATTTGTCTGCGTGTCCCCAACCCCAAGCACGGCACACGGCATGTTGGCGTCGTTGTCCTGCACACTGCTGCTGTGTTCCGCATCGCACCTTGCTCTTGTTGAAGGACGGGAAATTCGTTGCAACGATATTTCGTTCAATGAGACACTGTGTGAAAAATTGAAACAGGATTTGTATTGTGATCGCATTGCAGTACATTACAGCAGACATGTCCGACCCGACGGGAGGAGATAATGCCGCAGAGGACCAGCAGCAAGGGCGCTGGCTTGGTGCCGTGAGATCGTGGATTAGAGGGGCAGAGGGTGAAGCTCCGGCGGAAGGCGACGCACCCGCGCCTGCTAGCTCGCCGGCGTTAAGTGCGGATGAGATCCGCAGGCGAAGGCTGGAAAGGATGGGGGGGTCCAACATGGATCAGGTCAGAGCTAAAGAGAGTTGCCGCAAATGATGAAAACGCGTTCTCTAGAACAAGGCAGGCTGCGGGCCGTATGGCGGTGGCATAGCACGAGGAGAGGGAGAGGGAGAGGGAGAGATTGAGGCATTTGCTGCTCTCGCACAAAGGCAGACTGTAGAGACCCCTTTATTGTTCCCTCGAGCGTTTGCATCACAAAAGGCCCTGCAGCAAGGCACAGAACACTATGTACCACAGCAATGCATGCATACATGTAGACCGAGTTGACTCGGGCTTAGATGAAGTAAGCCCTGCTTGGTTGGCATGTACAAATGTGGCAACCTGCACTCGGCTTGATGCATGCATATAATCTACCTACTGCATCACAAAAGGCCCTGCAGCAAGGCACAGAACACTATGTACCACAGCAATGCATGCATACATGTAGACCGAGTTGACTCGGGCTTAGATGAAGTAAGCCCTGCTTGGTTGGCATGTACAAATGTGGCAACCTGCACTCGGCTTGATGCATGCATATAATCTACCTACTGCATCACAAAAGGCCCTGCAGCAAGGCACAGAACACTATGTACCACAGCAATGCATGCATACATGTAGACCGAGTTGACTCGGGCTTAGATGAAGTAAGCCCTGCTTGGTTGGCATGTACAAATGTGGCAACCTGCACTCGGCCTGATGCATGCATATAATCTACCTACTGCTAGTGGAATCACCTTTTTTTCGTTCCTGTTTGTCCCGTTCTTGCATATACACACCAACAAACAACGTGTCCGTGCCCAGTCCCAACATGTATCTTCCGTCCTTGTTGATTTTCTCTACTTCGTTATTTTTCCTTGCGCGCTGCTGCCTCGTCTTCCCCTCACGAATCCTTACTGAAGTCTGGGAGGCACAGCAGCCGTCATTCCCGTGAGACGGCACAGCCGTAGCATGGAAGTATAGGGCCGGCCTCGAGATATAATGCACACCATGAATCGGATCGTGATCGGTCCGAGCACTCATGTATACGTACGCGATCTATAACTGTTTACTACTGCTGTGCTGGTGCACGTAAGCGGTTGCGCGCTCGATTGAGTGCTCTGCACGGCGAAGAGTGTGTCATGTCTTGCACACGGCACTTGCATGTGTCGTGTAATGTGTGTCATGTGCCACCCTCATCCGAGCCCGACCCGACGGTAGGTATCTCCGTGCCAGACGTCTTTGGTATTTTTCATGCCGTATGTTCCGGAGCGCCTTCTAGCATGCACCCTTGTGAATTCCGTTAGTCTAATCCACCAGAGCTGCCTACTCCAGCAAAGTTCACTGCACAGACTTCCCACATATCCTGCTCAAAACTGTGGCATTATCTCCAACTGGCATTCTTTCATTGAGTATGTGGTATGTATATTTTCTTAAAATAAACTCATTTCTGTCCATGATCCGACCTGACTTTGAACACTTGCACACTCGGCACCGTCATCTCGTGCTTTTGTCTTGCAGCCTCAACTCCGAAAGCAGTCGCCGTCGCCACCGCCGCCTGGGGCGAAGGACAGCAAGCCCACCGCCACCCCAGTCTCTACCAAACCTGGAGCAACTGCTGGAAAGGAACCCACCATTGGTGCGGCAACAACAGCGGCAGCAGCACCAGCACCAGCACCGGTGGTCGCCTCGACTCCGGGAGCGACCGGGGGCTTAACAGAAGGCGGTGGGTTGAAGGCGGGCGGCAGCGGCGCAAGTGGTGGTGTTACCGCCGTTGCCCCTTCTGCTCCTGGAGCCTTTGTTGGCGGCAAGGGAAAGATTACCCCGGAGCAACGCCTACACAACTCGCTGCGGGTGGTTTTGAGGGTGAGAGAACGGGACCGAATGTTGTTAGGCACGATGATGCGCATGTAGATGACAAGTGCGTTACACACATACTGAAGTAAGAGGGGTGGTCAGGCAGGGGGGGAGAGTTTTTTTTTCTCTTTTTTGCTCCGCTCGAATTTAAGTCGTGTTTTGTGCACGATAGAGCTTCTTCCGGCGACCCGTTCGCGCAATCGTTTCAGGAGGGGGCTCAGCACCGTGGTTGTTGCTTTCGCAAATAGTAGGCCTTGCTTCAGTTATGCAGATGGGTTTCTCTCCGACCGAGTTATGTTCTGTCTGTCGCTCACAGCTTTTTCTTTTGGTGTTGCTGTCTGAAATGAGTAACATGCGTTGTCCCCGTGGCAGCGGTTTTGGGCGTTTTGGCAGCACTCACCCAAGGTACGTACTGTCCGGCGATATGCCCTGCTGCGAGTACACCACCACGTATCTCTATCCCTGTGCCTCTATCTCTACCCATCCTAACCCCTCCCCCTCTTGCCTTCTGGGGTTCCTTGGCGCGATCGTGCCAAAGGTAACCCTTTCCCAGGCGGAGGGCGAGACGTTGCCTTCAGGGTTCGTTTATGTGGGTGAGGCAGTGGATGGCGACGCCCTGCTCGCGGAGGACATATTGCCGGAGGTCGTTTGCGCGAGGCTTGGCGCGCCAGACCCCCAAGACCGAGGCATAGGTAAATTGCGCATCTACAGCAGTACCTCTGTTGTTCTAATGTAGTAGAGGCTGACCACGGACTGGAGCTCCTACCCAGCAGAAATTCTGTAAGTGTGAGGGCTGATTCGAAGTGACGAACAAACAAGAATACAAGTTTTGATTAATTCAAGGGGAGGAGCGATGTGTCCGACCGGGGGTTCTACTGCTGCTGTTTGTGCCTGGTGTTGACGTTTTCGTTGTGAAACCGAGAACGGTTTGTCGCATATGGAAATTGATTTTTGTTGCTGCCGTATCCAGCAGGGCACTGTTTCCTCTACAACAACCCCACTGTACCCCTAGCACGGGCTATAGTCGCGTGAAAACACAAAGTCGATCTCCCTCGTGTTGTCTTCACACGCCATGCATACCCTATGGCAGGGTTCCTGGCGGGAGCCTTCGCCCGATGTCAAGACGAGCTGCAGTCCGTACGCCGTAGGGCCGGTAAATCGGACGTTGCTCTTGCACTCAAGGGACTCGAGGCTGCCAGAACACAGCTGATCAACTTCAGCGCGACGTGTCTCATGGAGGTGAAGTGCAGTGTGGACTTCCAAGGGTTTGCGTATAGAGATGTGCTTCTGCACTGCCGGAGGGGGGGGGGGGGGGGG